TGTGTGGCGGGACTGCCTGCCGCACGGCGCTCGCTGCAACACGATGTACGCGACATCTTAACCGGACAAAAGCCGTGCTCACCCTGCCCCACCCCACCCCTGGTCCTGGTGGGGAGGGGAGGGGGCGCTCTCTCCAGGATGTGAGCAGCCGCCTTGTCCTGCGCGGGGGAGCGGGGGAGGGTTGCCCACCCTGCCTACCCTGTAACGTCAGCGCCGCCGCCCCCTCCCCCCACCGCGGCCAGCAGGGGGCCGTGAGGCCCAGCGGGTGCACGGGATGGGCAGCTGTGGGGAGGGGAGTGGGACACACCCGGGGACCCCTCCTCCGGGACCGGGCCCCACCAGGACCCCACCACCCGGTCGGGCCCCCTCGACGGCCGCCCGTATAAATACTGATGTTAGCGAGGAAGACGCCAGTGTCCGTTGGGCTCCCGTCCTTCCTACTCCTAACCATACACTCGCCATGAAGACTTTCACAGTGGTAAGTCTGTGAGCCCCGCCCGCTGCTGGACTGCTCTGCTCTCCTGCTCTCCAGCCTCGCCTCCGCCTGCGCACCGCGCCGTGGCCTCTGGATACCAGCCACTCCATTGGATACTCATTTGTGATTCGTGCTGCGCCGAGTGAAACCGAACTATGCGTGTGACTGTGACTGCGCCGTGCTCCGCCCTGTGCCTCGGCATCGTCACTCCCCCGCCTGGGCGACCCACCCGACCTCACGGCAGCCGCAGCCGCCTCGGTGCATCGATGCACCTCAGTTTCGTGCCGTCCCCTACAGGGATAGGGGAATTTTTTTCTCAGCAAAGTTTTGGACAGTGAAATCTATTTTTATGTCTGTTATTTCCTAGCGTGTTGACAGTGAGTTGTACAGAAAAACGGACAGGCACTTTTCAATTTTTTCCTTTTGTGTGAAACTAAAGCTAAAAACGTTTGGTTCTTTGCGCTGGACTCCTATCGATTGCGTTTCCTTAATCTCTGACCCGTTATCCGGAAACGAGAGCTCTGAAAGCGACTCGTTAGCGTTGAACAGTCCGTGCAAAGCTAATCAGTCACACCCGCAGAGGATCTCGTCTATCAAACCAGCCCCGTCATTCACCCCAGCCCGAGCTTAATTGAGTGTACAATCGCGAAATCGGCGGGG